GTGTTTCTAAATCACATGTCTAAGTAGAAGTCACAAGAGAAATTAGAAAGCTTTTAAACAGAAGGAAAATGAAAATATCAAAGCTGTGGAATTAAATTGAAGTGCTTAAAAGATAACAGCATTAAGTGTGTATATGAGAACAATTTTTGAATCAAGGATCTAAACTTCCACCTTAAGAAACTATAGAAAGAGAATCTTAAACCTAAAGTAAGCTAACCGGAAGGAAATAATAGAGAAAAGCCCCAAAATTGAAAACAATAGAAAAAATAAACCAAAAGCTACTATGAAAGTTTATTATAAAGCTCTCTAGTCAAACCAAAAAAAAATACACATGCACACAAAAATACAAATTACCAGCATTACTAACAAAAGACATCACTATACAACTTACTAACAATAAAAAAGTAATAAAGGAATATTGCCAAAAGCTTTAATATTTCAACAGCTTAAATGACATGGATAATTTTTTTTGAAGGATAAGTCACTCAGAAGAAATGGTCTGGCAGTTCTGCAAAAGATTAAACATAGTCACCATAGACTCAATGATTCCACTTCTAAGTATATAGTCAAGAGAGTTGAAACCCTAACTTGTTTGGCTCAGTGGATAGAGAGTTGGCCTGCAGACTGAAGGTCCTGGTTTGATTCTGGTCAAGGGCATGTACCTTGGTTGAGGGCATATCCCAAGTGGGGGAGTGCGGGGTGTGTGTGTGTGCAGGAGGCAGCTGGTCAATGTTTCTCTCTCATCAGTGTTTAACTCTCCCTCTCCCTTCCTTTCTGTAAAAAAATCAATAAAATATTTAAAAAAAACAACCAATGTGTTATTTTCCATATAAACAACTGTAAATCTACTTTGCCCCACCATGTACAAGATTTGTTCAGAGATGTTCTAGTATCTGTATTTGTAATACATAGTCAGAAACTGCAAACAATCCACATGTCCACCAGTGTTGAATATATATCAAATGGATACTACTCAGCAACAAAAACTAATTATTGATACACACAAGTGGATTAACAAGGAACATCAAGAAATAAGAGGGCAGGATGGATATGTCCATTTCTTATTATACAGTATTGTTAATGTAAAAAACCATTGAAACCTGTAAAGAATTTTTGTGAATTTATTTGAGCCAAACCGTTGACATATGCCAGGAAGCAGAACCTCAATGAACTGAGATAATGCTCTGGAGAATGGTGGTTACATCTGTATTTATACATTGCAATCAAAGGAAAGAAAAGTACGTAGGTTACTTGAAATCCACTGGTGATAGACTAGAGAGGTGGGAAAAAGCAAAGCAGGGATTGGATAAAAAAATAGACCCATACTCAGGTGGCTGCAGGAACAATTAACATGATAATGAAGGAATTTATGGTATCTGTCCTGGAGCCCTACATATTAGGTAGGTTCTGCCCCAAGGGATCCAAAAAAAGAGAAGTTACAAGTTACCCAGACATTTCAAGGATATATTCTTATAGATGCAAAAAGACAGATAAGCTCAGTTAAGGTAAAGGTTTTTACTTATTTATTTTTGTTTGTTTGCTTGAAGAGTAAAGGCTTGGGATATACTGGTAACTACCCTCCATAACTGCTTTTAATTTCAGATTTTGTGGTTACTTTAGGTCTCTGAGTTTGCAAGACTGCCATGCAGGCCTTCCCTGAGCTTGTCAGGTTAGCATGTGGCCCCTTTCATCCATCCACAGTATGATTTCACAGGTGTGTACATGTCAAAACGTATCACATTGTACATTTTAAGTATGTTCAGTTTCTTGTAGGAAAATCATACCTCAATAAAGCTATTTTGTTTTTTCAAGATACAGACTGGGTGAAAATATTTGCACGACACGTATCAGAGAAAAACCTTTTATTCAGAACCCACAAAGAACTTCTACCATTAAATAAGATAAGCATCCTGATCTGAAAATGGCCCAAGATTAGGACAAACTTTGCCAAAGAAGCAATGCAACTGGCAAATAAACAAACATGAAAACATGCTCAACACCTCTAGCAATTAGAGAAATTAAAATTACGGGAGTCCACTTTATACCCACCATAAAAGCTAGAATTAAAAAGACTGATAACATCAAGGTTTGATGATGATGTGGAATACCTGGAATCCGCATCTATTGCTGTTGAAAATGAGAAACATTACAACCACTTTGAAAAAAACAACTGGAAAGCTTCTTTGTAGATTTCAAAATTTGACCATTGGCTTGTATCGCTGCCATTCATTTATGGAAGCTTCTAAAAAGAAAATGTAAGCCTGGAGCATCGCGGAGCCAGAGCTCAGCACCCGGGGCTCAGTGCTGGGGCCCGCCCTGCCCACACTAGCACCTCACCAGGCTATGCAGGCAGGGGCCCCTCAGAAGAAGGCGTCCTTTGCGCAGTCCTTGCTTCCAGGAGCGGGGAGAGTAGGGGGAGCAGAGCCTAGAGCTGCCCCATGTGCCTCCTCCACAACCCTGGGCCGCACTCCACCCCCTTTTGGTCACCAGCTGCCCCCTGTCATTCACCCCCAGATGTAGGCAAACGGAGATGTCACGAAATGAACCTGGGGATACAAGCAAGGGGTTTGTAAGTCCTGCAAATTGTCATTTGGAGCAGTGGGAGGGTCTTACATTTATGTGAGTGAAAGACAGATTCCCTGGAGCCCTGTGTACAATGGATTTGGCCTGGAGGCAAGGAAACAGGTTTCTCTTGGCCTTCATACCTACCGTATCGTCAGTATAAGCAGTCGCTAGCCAGCCTGAAAATTGGACGGGGGTGATGATCTGATGTCAGCCTCTCTTATCTTTGAGGTTATACAGTAAAACGTTGCTGAATGGGCACTGGGATTGGGCTTCAGTCTGGAATGAGAATTACACTTAAAGAGCTAATATTCAGACCTTTCATTAAATAAAAATTTGTCTTATTAAACACTTCTAAACTGTGCCAGAAAGATTTTGATGTGAATTTAATGGTGGTCCAACAAAACTCTTAAATCACATTTTCTGAGCCATCGAAAGTATTTTACTTCAGATGCCACGAAATATAGAAAATCATACATAACCCAGAAGAGTTTTTAAGCCAAAATACCTTGTATTTTGATCACGATGACATTATTTCCTACTGCTGGACATATGAGTACTGTACAATCTGGGAGGTACTGCTAGCATTATTATTAGGCTCTGAATCCTAGGGCCTTACTCTTCTGTAACTTTGATTTGATTATGCTAAGTTCATTCAGAGGCTAATTAGAGCTTCATATGCCAAGATGCAAGAGTTAAAGAAAATTTCCAGACTTTCTAAAGTTCTGTAATTTATAAGCAACTTTGCAGGCCTTCTGTTTCATCATAGATTTTAATTTTTAATTTACAGTGATAGCTTTTAACTTTTTAAAAATTGATTTGAGAGAGCCCTGGCCAGTTTGGCTTGTAATTAGAGTGTTGACCTGCCTACCCAAGGGTCACAGGCTTGATTCCAGGTCAAGGGCACTTACCTGGGTTGCAGGTTAGGTTTTCCCCGTCCCCCCTCTGTGCAGGAGGCAACCAGTGGATGTGTCTCTTTCATATCCCCATGTTTCTCTCTCTCCCACCCTCCTCCCTCCGTTCCACTCTCTAAAGATCAATGGGAAAAAAATATCCTTGGGTGAGGATTAACAAGAACACCAACAAAACTGATTTTAGAGAGGAAGGGAGAGAGAAAAACATCCGTTTGTTGTTCCACTTATTTATGCATTCTTTGGTTGATCCTTGTATATGCCTTGACAAAATCAAACCTGCAACTTTGGCCTATCAGGAGAACGCTCTAACCAGCTGAGCTACCCACCAGGGCTCATCATAGCTTTTAAAACTGCTGCAACAAACATAAGCTCTGGTTACTGTTTAACTTGACACTTTTCCTCAGTACAAGGTCGGCTTCCTCTGTGTACATCCTCAGGAAACTCCCATGATGCCATGTCCTGTGCATCTTCAGGAAGCTACCTGGCCTAGCCCACGGATATCGCAGACCTGGGACATTACCAACCTGGCTGTGGAAGCGCTTGGAACCCCCTGACCACCGCCACCGAATGGAGGACACCTGTTTCAGGATTGGGGGGTTGCGGGTTGTGAAATATGAAGTGAAACCAGGAACCCGGAGTTGTGACCACGGTTCCAGGGCTCCAAACCCATCTTGGAATTAGGAGACCTCCAGGTCTTAACCCCATCACCGCGGCTCTACACCTCCCGGATCTAGGTCACCGGGATCCCAGGCTTGAGGTTCCAAACCCCATGCCCCGGTGCCTCACACTCTCTTCTTCCCCTCACCCCCATCCCGGCGTTTCAGAAAACGGCCGCCTCCAGTTGGCAGGAATCCGTGCTTTTGTTGCAAATGCAGGATGACGTGACCACAGCCCACATTTCCGAGCAGCTTCAGGTCCGCGACGATCCTCCAGAGAAAGGGCTGTCGGAGACTCTGGATTCTCCTCCTGCTCTCTCCCCTCCTGTTTCAGAGTCAACCCCTCGCCTCCCCACCCTCAGCTCCCTAATCATTCTTCTTGAAGCCTCCGATGCACCTCTTCCTTTTCCGTTTTTCCCACTTACAAATCCCCACCGAAGGACGCGGAAGGTAGAGCAGAGAACTGGATACAAAGAAGTTTCTTCAAACGCCGCCTTCTGCAGGTTCTCAAGGCGTCCCCTTTAAGGGAACCAGGCCCACCTCTTTCCCGTTCGTCTAGTGGCTCTCCTTCCTGCCCGTCACTCTACCTTTAAGAATATTTCCTGTTCTCTCAACCCAACTTGCACACCTCCGCCCCACGGCCCTCCTCATTGGGCCGCCCAAGTCCCGTTCGCTCTTCGAGGCTCCCTCCACCTCCTCCCGCCCTCCAGCCTAGCGCAGCGGGATCCCCGGTCGTGATTGGCTGTCACGGCGGCCTCCCCGGGGCCGGATTGGTGGGCCGAGGGGCAGGGGCGGGAGCGCGGCTCAGCCAGGGTAGGCTGTCCGCGTGCCGAGCGGCCGCCGCGGAGGGGCGGGGAGGGGTGGGGGGAGGGGGGCTGGGAAAGTTGAGGCCGCGCTGCCGCCGGGTCGCCTGCCTAGAGGGAGGGCTCCGGCTCGCAACGGCGGCTGCGGCGGCGGCCGCAGGAAGAGGCGGCGGGGCGGGGGGAGAGGAGGGCCCGGGCCCGCGCTCCCCCAGCCCCAGAGGAGCCGGCGGCGGCGGCCGCAGAGGGAGAGCTTCGCCGGGGCGGTCGGACAGCCCTGCTTCCCCGCCTGGAATCATGACCCGGGCGGGGGTCGCCGCTGCCGCCGCCGCCGCGGCCGAGACCGCGCAGCCCGCGGGTGAGTGACTGCGGAGGGGGCTGCTGACAGCGGAGCGGAGGGCGGGGGCCGGGGCGGCGAGGGCGGCTCCGGGGGGCGGCTCCGGGCTCCGCTCCACCCACCCCTCCCTGCTCCCGGAGGCGAGGGCTGCGCAAAGTGTGCCTCTTTCCGCGGGGACCCTGCTCGCGGAGGCTGTGGGTGCTGCGTGCACCCCTCTTCTGCCCGATCTCTCCGGGCGCCCCCTGGTGGCTCTCGGTGCTCACCGGCCCCCGATGCGCGCGGGGCGAGGGGCTCCTCGCTGCCCCAGCGCATAAAGAGCTGGGCACCCCGGTTCGCCCGGCGGCCTCTGCCCGGGCCCCCCTGCACCTCTCCCTGTCCCTGCACCCCCTCTGCTCCCCTCGCTCTCTGAATTTCTTGGGTACTGCTGGTCCGACTCACGTGACTGGCTTTTTTACTCTCACCCCTAGGTCGCAGAGTTGGGCTTGCGTTTTCTTTTTTAGAAGCTATTCTTTTCCTCTCTGAGTAGGAGCGGTAGAAGCTAATGACCAACTCTTGGAATCTTGTCCCACGTTCCCCGGGGAAATATTTCTGGACTCTTGTCCATGTTTAACGTTGTGATTGTTGGGTTCGCTGCCCCCTTTCCACCTTCTCCACTTAACCCCTACGGTTTCAGTGGGGGGTGGGGGGGGTGTAGTCCTTTGAATTTATCTGGAAATAAGAGACTGCATAAACCCATGTGTGCAAATCTCAGTTTATAGGCTTCCAACTTATGTTCTCATAACATTTTTTTTTTTTTACCAGTTGTGGCTAGCTTAAGTTTGCATAAAGAAGAGAGTCGCGTACCTATAAACAAAGTTATTCTTGAATAAACCCTTTAGTGAGTAACGTGGAACCTGAAGCATGTTCATATCTATGCTTTTTCTTAAGAAGCAAACAAGGGAAAACAAACAGACCTGCTTTTATCAACCGGCTGTCCTACTCTCCAGTCACCTCAATGACGTTTTCCTCCCACACAGGACACTTGTTCAGTGTAGCACAGAGTTGCTGTATGGGGTCCATTTGTTGTTTCCCTTTATGTGTGAAGTACTCTGAAAGTATCTGTTGCAAAATACTTTGTAGTTATTGCACTACTGAAAACAGGAACAGTACAGTTTAATGTCTCCAGGTACTACAGGAATGAATACTTAATATCACATTTTGCTTTAGTCTAAGCAGTGTGACTTTTGTATACATAGGTATTACATTTTCCCTGAATTAAAAGAGAAATTTTATGAAATCCAGACATGGATGCAGCATAGAACATTTTAAAAAATATATATATTTTATTGATTTTTTACAGACAGGAAGGGAGAGGGATAGAGAGTTAGAAACATCGATGAGAGAGAAATATCAATCAACTGCCACCTGCACAATCTCTTCTGGGTATGTGCCTGCAACCAAGGTACAGGCCGTTGACCGGAATCAAATCTGCTGCCCTTCAGTCCGCAGGCCGACGTTCTATCCACTGAGCCAAACCAGTTAGGGCTAGAACATTCTTTAATATAAAACACTTCATTGCAGGGATCTAAGGGTAGTTTAAGATTGAAATAATTATTTTCTAAATTAGTTGTCTATGGGCCATCATGGAAATAAAATTCAAAAGTTGCGGATTGTGCAATCAGTGAAACAGTCATGTAAAATAAATGTATAGGTTATTTTCCTATTTTCAGAGCTTAGCCTTGTCAATAAGAGAAAAGAAACACTAGAACAGAATGTTTAACTCAGGTTAGAAGGTAAGCTTCACCAGATAATCAGCTCAAAATTGTTGCTTATAAACAGGGACTGAGATCAAGTGTGGGTCTTAATCATATCTGTCATGCTTTACCTTTCTTTTCTCTAGCCCTATGGTTCTGAATCCAGACTGTACTTTAGAATCACCTTGTACACACTTTTACATTTTAATGCTCAGGCCATGCTGCCCCTGCCCCTCACCCCGCCCAAGATTCTCTTAGTTTTTATATGGGGTAGTCTCACCCATAGATATATTTTTAAAACTCCCCAGGTGTTTCTATTCATCAGTCAGGGTTGAGAACTACTATGAGTCTAGAATAGTAATTTTCAACCTTTTTTCACCTTGTAGCACACATAAGCTACTAAAATTCCACAGCACACCAAAAATAATTTTTTTGCTGATCTGACAAAAAAAATCTAATTTTGATTCAATCACACTGGATGGCTATTGTGTTGGCTGTTAAATTTTTATTTTTATTTTTCCATCACCATGTCATTTGTTTTTTTGTTTTTTTTTACAGAGAGGAAGAGAGAGGGATAGAGAGTTAGAAACATCGATGAGAGACAATCATAGATCAGCTGCCTCCTGCACACCCCACCACCGGGGATGTGCCCGCAACCAATGTACATGCCCTTGACTGGAATCGAACCTGGGACCCTTTAGTCCGCAGGCCGACGCTTTATCCACTGAGCCAAATTGGTTTCAGCACCATGTTGTCATTTTAAAAAAATATATATTTTATTGATTTTTTACAGGGAGGAAGAGAGAGGGACAGAAAGCTAGAAACACCGATGAGAGAGAAACATCGACCAGCTGCCTCTTGCACACCCTCCACCTGGGATGCGCCCGCAACTAATGTACATGCCTGCGACGGGAACCGAACCTGGGACCCCTCAGTCTGCAGGCCGATGCTCTACCCACTGAGCCAAACCGGTTCTGGCCATGTTGTCATTTTTAAAAATATATATTTTTATTGATTTCAGAGAGGAAAGGAGAGGAAGAGAGAGAAAGAAACATCAATGATGAGAGAGAACCATTGACCAGCTGTCTCCTGCACACCCCACACTGGGATAGAGCCCAGTACCCAGGCATGTGCCCTAATTGGGAATTGAACCGTTACCTCTTGGCTCATAGGTCAACGCTCAACCACTGAGCCAAGCCGACTGGGCCATGTTGTCATTTTTGTATTTGATGATCTAGTAAGGGAAAAGAAGTCAGTGTCCCTGACTAACTAGGTACAGTATTCCTGACTAACTAGGTATTGCACGCTTAAAAAATTTTAAGGCACATCTGCTGAAACCGGTTTGGCTCAGTGGTAGAGCGTCGGTCTGCGAACTGAAAGGTCCCAGTTTCGATTCCGGACAAGGGCATGTACATTGGTTGCGGGCACATTCCCCGTAGGGGCGTGCAAGAGGCAGCTGGTCGATGTTTCTCTCTCATCGATGTTTCTAGCTCGCTCTCTCCCTCCTCTCTGTAAAATATCAATAAAATATATATTTTTAAAAATTATTTAAAAAAATTTTTTTAAGGTACATCTTACAGCATACCAGTTGAAAATCACTGGTCTAGAATAGTGTTCAGTCTGCTAGGCTTGTGTTCCAGACTCTTCTAAATTAGGCCTTCCCCCATGTGTCTAACTTTTTCCCGCTGCTTCCCAATAGGAATCTTGACCTCTTCGTGGTCCCACAGATAATGCAGGTAAAATCCCTGCTTTTATTAATAACATTGGTCTTTCTCAGCATACCAGCATCTTCTCAGGGTTTTTGTTTGTTTGTTTGTTTTTTAAATATATTTTGTTAATTTTACACAGAGAGGAATTGCGAGGGATAGAGAGTTAGAAATGTCAATGAGAGAGAAACATCGACAGCTGCCTCCTGCACACCCCCTACTGGGGATATGCCCGCAACCAAGGTACATGGCCTTGACTGGAATCAAACCCGGGACCTTTCAGTCCGCAGGCCGACACTATCCACTGAGCCAAACCGGTCTCGGTATCTTCTCAGGTTTGATTCCATCCCAGATGGTTCTCTCTTGGTAGCTTCCTCTCACTTTAACTCCCATGGAATGATATATGGATGTCAGTTTCTTCCATATCTTTTCCTGACTTCTTCAGTAGGTTAACTGTTTTCTCAGTGGCCCCATAACAGCTTGTACTTATTTCTGTGTTAACACTAATCACATTGTCTGAAGTATGTGTTGATCTACCTCCTTCACTAGATCACTAGTGAAGGAGCTCCAGGAGGTACGATTCACAAAGAATTCTTTTTTTTAAATATATTTTATTGATTTTTTACAGAGATGAAGAGAGAGGGATAGAGAGTTGGAAACATCATTGAGAGAGAATCATGGATCAACTGCCTCCTGCACATCCCCTACTGGGGATGTGCCTGCAACCAAGGTACATGCCCCTGACCAGAATCGAACCCGGGACCTTTCAGTCCCCAGGCTGATGCTCCATTCACTGAGCCAAACTGGTTTAGGCTCACATAGAATTCTTAAATACGGTTGCATTATGGCAGAACCAGAATATAGAACTGTGTTCTCTTCATCCTCGTGTTCCTGGGCCCTAACAGCACTTCTCATTAGGAGGCACGTAAATGGTTGTTGGCTAAGTAAACAGCTGTTGTGCTGTATATTGTGCAAAGATAACCATAGACATCTTTAAGATAGATTGATTTGGCTTAACTTAATTTTGCTGTTAAATATTCTTATCTTTCACTCCTGTTACGGATTTGTTAGGGGTTAGTGGAATTTAAGTAATTATGGTAGTGATAGACCCCTTAAGCATGTAATCTTCCTTGCAATATGCACAGGGATATATACCTTGAGTTTCTTACTCTGAGCTCTAGAGGTTGACCCTTGTTATCCTTAAGATTATTTGTGGAATTCTTGCTAAGAGAGAAACTGTTAACTGTCCAATTGGGTAATTTTTCTTTTTCTCATTAAATTCTCCATATGGGTACAATTGCACTACTTCAGAAGGCCAGATCTTTTAATTAGATCGCTTGAGCATGATAAGTTGCTCCCATTAAATGTGCTAATACTGTGTTTTTAATTCAGTTCATCTAGTATTTATCGAGTGCTTGCCATGTGCCCAATACTCTTAGGTACTGAAGAGAATACAGAACTAGTAAATGGTGTGAACTCAGCTCTTAAGAAGTTTTTAAACTTATAAATTAGGAGAATTGGGAAACATCATATCAAATAATTAAGGAACTGAACATAGTATTTATTAGATGCTAATTTAAAC